GAGTTAATATTGTAATGTTAATAAAATAATTTATAATATGGTTACCTGATTGCCTTTATGATTCCAATCCGACATACAACAATTTTAGATCTCAATTCTGTGTTGGGAATTTTCTTTAAGAAATTGAGTGGTTTACAAAAATATCAGCATTTTGTTTTTGAAGCAACTAATCCTGGAATTGTCAAAGCTCATGAATTTAATTTGTTAAAAACTAGCAAAACAAGCGTTTCTAAAATTACCAAAAAAATTAAATCTTTTTCTATCCTAGTTCTAACACCGCCTCCATTAGATTACAAACGCCAAGAGTACCTTTACAAAAATATTCGTCCTTTGGTTAGAGATGAATTTAAAGATGTTACTATTAATGTTTTTCTATTTTCTAAAAATTAAACCAGTGGCCATAAGCAAAGTTAAAAAATTAGAACCATTGCTATTAATTGATTTTAAGTATTCTTTAAATTTGAATACTTGCTTGAATTCAGTTCTAAGTTTGTTGCCTAATGCTTTGATATTGATTTTGTTTTGTTTTTTTGGCAACTTGAGTAAAGATTTGGTTGATTTGGTTGCTAAATATTGTTCTCATTTTGCTTGGTATTTCTTAATTTCTTTAGCAAGAATCTCTTCAATCTCTTTTTCTTTTTGGGCTTTTTCTCTTAACTCTTTAACACCAGACATTTCAGTATTTAAAGCTTCTTGAATGTTGGTTAAATATTTTTCTTTTTTTTGCTCATAGTCTTTAATGTATTCTTGAAATCGAGAAATATCCTCTAAATAGCGATTTTTATCCTTATGGTATCCAACTAATCTTTTGTAGTTATCTTGGGTGGATGAAGAAAGTTTTAAATTTAATTCAGCAGGTAAATTATTTTGTCTATAATAATAAAACTGTTTGCGAGCTAAATACACGTATTCACTAATTCAAACAGGTTTAAAATAATTTTTATTTTTTTGCTTGCTTCTTGAATTCTTTTATTAGCTTTATGGAAATTTTCTAAACTTTGCTCATTAAGGTCTAATAACTCTTCACAGCTTTTAATGCTACCCTCTCAAAGGTTTTTAAAATGTTCATTTTCTTCTTCAAAATCTTGATAGTTTGTGTTATTGAATTTTGGTTTCAGATTTTCTAATCTTTCTAATTCCTTGCGAGCATTAATGATACTATCTAGTTTCTCTTTCAGTTTAGGAAAATCATTTAGGAGGACAATTTGTGAAAGACAACCACGATTTTTTCCTGTTTCTTCAAGAGCAAACTTTTCAATTAAAAAATTAATTTTATCAGGCAATCTGTTTTGTCGGTATCATTGAAAACGAGCTAACATTTCTGAGGGATTTAGTTTTCTTTTCTTAAATTTTTTATTTAATTCATTAATTATTTCTTGGCTTTTTTGTTGACTGTTTTTTACAAACAATTGTTTATCATTTATGTTATTTGTGAGGATCAAGAGCGTATTCCTCTCTGAATTTGCTGCGGAACGATAGGTGTCACCAACAACGGTACACAGATGATTAGAATGTAAGACAA